AAGCTGCGTACCTGCCAGCCATATGGCACAGCTTCCCTCCCAGGCCTCTGTGGGGATTGCTCTCCCGCAGTGGCATGGGGGAGAGTTGCGCCCACCCCGATGGCTGGCAGTGTGCAGTTCCCCCCCCCATCTGTAGTAATTTGGGGGTGCTGGGCGGGTATTTGCACTCTGGCACCAACCCTGGTGGACTTGATATTTTTCTCTCTCCCACAGAGGAACCCGGACCTATATTCAGGAGCAACGGCCATGGCAGGGTGCTGCTGCTGCAAGGTTGCCTTCCCAACACTCTCATTGCAACTGCTTACCAGGAGGGTGTGGGGCAGGGTGAGGTCAGGGCTGCATGGATGCACCAGTGAATCCAATCCAGTGGTACCTGATGTCACTGCCATCCTGCCCTATCCCAGTAAGCAGGAGTAATGTCAGTGTGACAGGGCATCACCCGACCTGGTTGGCTGCTCCTGCTTCTATCTCCTGCTTCCTCCTGTGTTTTCTCAGAGCCAGCTCGCCGTATTCTTTCCTGTTGTAGTTTACATTCTTCCTTACCCATATGTCCCAAACATTTGTTCCCCTTTCATAGACACCAACATACGTCTCGTGTGCAGGGTTCTTAAGCATTTCCTCTATGGAATCCTTTGCACCTGAGTAAGGTTGAAACCCTTCACTGTGAAAACATTTGGGTCTTCTATGCATGCCCTGAATGAGAAAGACACTATATATATTTGCTGTTGTTTTATGGCTTGTTGATTATGTATTATTTTGTGACTGTATTTGTGTACACAAAATGACACACATTAGCCCTGACAAAACAGGCACTATGGCAGCAGGTCCATAATGGTTAGCTGACTAGGGCTGTGATGGTTAGTTGATCTCTGAATGTTTCCATGGTTTTCATAGAACCATAGAAGTCTTCTTCTTTTTTCTATTTAGGAGAGTGTGTACCTGAGGTCCTGTTTACTGGCCTGTCCAGCCCTATTGCCACCTGCCCCATCATCTGTTAGCAGCCCCCGTTGGCACTTATGCTGGTACTTTTCTGTTGCTGATCTAATTTTCACTCTCTGTGATGATTTTTAGATTGTGTTGTTGTGTTTTTAGGTTATACTATGATTTGTAATGTTATAGTTGGTTCTTTAACATGTTAGGAGCTGCCTTGAGGGGGGAAACTCTGTAAGGTAGCTTGTAAATACATAATATAATACTAATAGCAACGATAACCACTGCTGTATTCAATACCTTACACAGCAAAAAAAAAAAAAAAAGGGGGAGGGGAATAGCTACTTTTGCAGTATTTTGACTTGTCTCTATTAATTACATTTCACTAACTGCTCTGGTGTCCAAAGACATATGACAAACTTAATGATAATGAATAATGAGTAAGGCAAAATTAAAAGCTTCCTGTGGAATTTTTCTTTGAATTGCCCCAAGATGAAGAAAGGAATAGCTAGGGGGGAAAGTGGAACATTAATTCTAATTTTTATGCAGAGGCCTTAAGAAAACAGTGGTATTTCAGATTTGAGTATTTGGCCACAGATGGACATTTCATGCTTTCTTGACAAGTCAGAACACTCCTGCCTTGTAACCATGTAATGGGGCACAAGGTTTGAGCCAAGCTGCAAATGAAAACAGTCGGCCATTCACCAAAGAGTTTCTTACCAGAGCATCATTTTAAGACAGCCCTTTAATAGTATGGACGGATGAGAGGCAAGAAAATTAGAGACCCGGGGATGGCAAAATAGATTATCCCTCCTAGTTTCTAACTATAGCTTGCAAAGACCGTCTATTGCTCATTAAAGCCTTCAGCTCTAATAAGATAGACTCCCCTTCATCCTCTGTGCTAAACTGCAGTAATTAACACGTTCGAAAGAGGTCAAGTTTAGCTGTTGAAAGTAAGGAATCTCTTGAAAGATACCTTTGCATTTTGAAGCTCAATTTACAAAGATACATTGATAGAAATTGGATTGGAGCACTGCGAAAACTACAGTGGTCACAGGGTTTATAGAATTCAGCTCTTGCTGAAAGCGGCAGCTTGAAATTAAAAGGAAACTGCTCTTTAGCATTGTAGTTATATTTGTTGGTCAGCAACCATGTTTTGGATCACAGTGAGGGTCTGGATCTAATCAAAACATGCCCAGTGGGGTGGTTGTGGTAGCTATGGGCAATGCTGGTGGCAGCATAATCAGATAACTTCATGCCATGCCAATTAAAACGCTGTCCTCAAAGAGGACAGCACCACCCCCAATCAAAATGCTGGACTGGGTATGTCACAGGGCACCCAGTGTGTGAGAACTGCTGTAAAACCTGATCGGCCGAGGACAGCCTATTTAGTAGCATCAAGCATGGCAGGAGGGGGAAGCAGAGGGGAGCGAGAAGAAAGAGGGTGCTGCAGGAGCACTGGTTTCAGAAATAGCTAGCCCTCCTTAGAAAGTGAGTTCTGAAGCTACAGATTGCCTCAATGATAACCACAGTTAAATAAATCAAGCAGACAACGAAGAAAAATGTTGGCTGTCTGTATGAAACAAGGGGGTAAGTCCCAAGCCAACTCTATTATAGCAGAAAGAGCTTCAGTTAAACTGGGAGGATTGTTTTAAGGTAAAGGTAAAGGTACCCGTGCCCGTACGGGCCAGTCTTGACAGACTCTAGGGTTGTGCGCTCATCTCACTCTAGAGGCCGGGAGCCAGCGCTGTCTGCAGACACTTCCGGGTCACGTGGCCAGCGTGACAAAGCTGCATCTGGCGAGCCAGCGCAGCACACGGAAACACCGTTTACCTTCCCGCTAGTAAGCGGTCCCTATTTATCTACTTGCACCCGGGAGTGCTTTCAAACTGCTAGGTTGGCAGGCGCTGGGACCGAGCGACGGGAGCGCACCCCGCCGCGGGGATTCGAACCACCGACCTTTTGATCAGCAAGTCCTAGGCACTGAGGCTTTAACCCACAGCGCCACCCGCGTCCCTGGGAGGATTGTTTTAGAAGGCAAAATACTCAGGCCAGTGGGTGTCCCTGATAATTCTGAGTGTGATAACATGATTCGCTTCTTGGTGTCCTGGTGGAAGGGGATTCCCCGTGATCTGAACATACAGACTTTGGACACTGTTAAGATGCATGGTGGGAGAGGGGACCTGAGGTTACCATGTTCCAAACCATGCAGGGCTTTATAGATTAAACTCATCACCTTGAATAGCCCTTAGGAACAAAGCAGAAATTAAGCAGATAACAATACGGACCAGAGGACACAAACAAGATTCTGCCACTGGTGAGGCCATAGGCTAACCCCTTACCTTCACTTTCAGGTTTGATAGAATCTGTTTCAGGAATCCTTCTGCACTAACAACAGTAGTGTCCACATACTAGCATCAAACAAAATTGGGCAGAAATTGGACTGTGGATTTAAGATTAAGATAAGAAATATAAATTACGTCAACATCATGGGGCAAAAGAGGCTTAGGCTACATAGATAAGAATGCTTGCAAATCACATCATGTGGTGTGCATCGTTCCACTACTGACAGCTTGCACGACAACACTATCCAAACATGGACTATATTGATTGTTGAAGGATATGATCTATCCCAAGGCAGACTGCTGAGTGGGGAAGATTAATAAGGCTGTAATTCTGTAGCTTCATAAACCAGTGGAAAGCATTCAGCTGCCATCTCTGGAGCTTTAAAAAAACCCACTTGGCATAGGATTTTTCCCACCCCTTGTGTGATACTAACAGCCTAAAAACAATAATTGCTGCCCAGCAGTGCAGAAACATAATCAATGCACTTATTGAATTACAGAGGCAAAATAATATTATCATCCAAATTACTGAACTGGCCCCTAAATTTTCTGATCTTGATTTCAAATATAATTTAAGTGAAATTGAGAGATATAATCGGATTTAAAGGCAGCTCTGTCTTTAAATATAGTAAGATGTATGAATAGAAAAGATAATGCTATCCATTCTAGATTGTGCCACCAAGGTTAAATATGGAAAGCTGGAGGTTAATGAAAACAGTTTGGCTAAGACAGGAAGACAAATGGCTTATGAAAAAGAATGTCTGTGTCTTACTTGGCAAAACAGTGAAAGAAGGATTTGCAATCAATGAAAAGGAATGCCGGAAAATTAGCACATTTAACTTTATTCCTGTATATGGAGGTAGCAGTGTTGGCCAGGAGTGCCTTTCATCAGCTGCATGTTAACCAGACTCTGCCCTTTGTTAGAGTAGGGATCCCATGAGGCTGATCTATGCTTTCATAACCTCAGGAACTTGTTATGTGCTCAGATCTTTGGTCCACCAGTATTGTTGACTCTGACTTGTGAGAGCTCACCAGGTTTTCAGACAGCAGCTGCTACAAGCCCTACCTTGAAAGCCCATCACAGCCATAGGGCAGGAGCATGTCTCCCTTGATGCACGTCTAGTTGTGGTCGTCAGATCAGACCCTGCTTCATATTTCCTCATTGTGGAAATTGAAAATATTTGTAGCAATATTCATGGATCCAAATGAGAAGGGGCATGGGATGGGTGGGGGAGAAGGTGCAGTATGTGCTATAACATGCTGCATGTTAATTGGAAAAACACCAGAGGGAAAGAAAGCAGTATGAAATGGCAAAGAGATTTATTACACCCCACCCTTGCATTTGCAGCCGACCCTGAACAATGATTTTTATTTCTGCTTTTTCAACTCAGTGCACATCTGTTTAAAATATATGCACACATTTGGAGTGCATAGAACAGCAGCACATACAAAGCAGCTGTTTCAGAAGCTGTTTGGGTAGGTCTGTTGCTTGCCTTTACCTCCTTGGGAACATGAGATTTGCTGGTAAGCTGGTGGGCAGGTTACTAGGCCTGCAAAACAGGCATTCCTCTAACACTGTCAGCAAAATGCAGAATAGGAATAATGACAGTAACAGCACCAGGACCAGAGGGGAGGCAGGAGCCAGAAATATGAGAGTGAGAAACAGTGAGAGAGGATACAGGAGGTTAAAGAAGAATAACCTCAAATGCTTTGTTGTATTTCCAGGAGTGACTGATCAGGATGATAGCCTTTCACAACTCAAGCAGGAAGCAAAAGCGGCTCTACTCACTGTGGTACTCTACTTCTACTAGGGATGTAAGAAACCATTGTTTTTCATTATGCCTTCTATTGGTTGCATGCTGCCCTGTTTCTGTTCTGCTGCAGTTCATCTTCTGCTGAAATAACTGACCGCTGTGGCAAAATTACGCAATTTATATAATTAATTACATAAATTATGTACATTATGTAAGCTACATTGTCATTACATTATTCCACCCCATTCATTTCAGTGCAAAGTAAACTCAATGCAAATAGCGGTGGTGGGAATGCAATCAATTGTGTATTGTTTGTGGACTGAAAGCAACAACAACAGTGAATACTGATCATATTCACATAGTGGAATGGATTGATTTCCATTTTGGTCAGGGGAGGAACAAATCAGCAATCCCGGCCTCCCAGCCCCATTTTGTTTTTGTCAGTATTCTCCAACAACTCTGATCTCTATTCTGAGTACCATTAGCCAAGCTGAAGCAGTGCCTTAGATAAGGCACGCTTGGGTTGGGGAGAAGTGGGAGATTTTGGAAAACAGAATTGTGCATGCGTCTTAGATGCCCTGTTCTTCCATTGCCCTGAGGTATCGCAGATGACACTGTCCCATTGCCATTGCTGGAATAAGATACAGCTGCTGGTTGAGTTGTCTTCTGTTTGTGAAATTGGAGTGGAGGGGCGCCATCTTGGTTTTTTTTGCCTCGGGCAGTAAAATGTCTTGAGCCAGATCTACTTCAGCCACAGCTGCCCTTGCTCCCATCTAACACCTCTACAGCCACCAAACCACTTGAAATTTCTCTCCTTATGTACAAAAATGGGTGCTCACATTCCAAAACTGCTTTTTGGAAGATTTGGCATGGGATGTTTTTTCTTGTGCTCTCTGATGTTTCTGTATCAGCCTAACACACAGTTTCAGTCAGTCCAGTCCAGTCAGGTGACATGTATTTAAGAATAGAAACAACTTTCCAGACCAGCAGCACAAGGCAGTCGGCCAGCCCATCCTGGCAAAGAGCACGCAAGCTCATTGGCATCAAACCAGAACTAGAACTGCTGACATAAGAGTCATATGTATTTGTCTTTATGTATGCAGCTCGGTGGTAGAGCTTCTGCTTTCCATGCAGATGGTCCCAGGTTCAATCCCTGGCTTCTCCAGGTTGAACTGGGTGTGCCCTTTGCCTGAAATGCTGAAGAGTCACTGCCAGTCAGTGCTGACAGTTCTGAGCTAGATGGACCAATGGTTTGGCTCAGTTGAAGGCAACTCCCTATCTTGTGTACGAAACACCAAATAAGATGTGGCCCTCCATTAATGACCAGTGTTCCCCAGGCATCACTTAGCTGAACGAATAGGATAATTGTTTATTTCCCTTCTTAGTGGATTGCAGTATTTGCTAGGAAATCACTGTTAAACAATAAATTTAGTTTTATACCACACTTAGGCTGCAATCCAATATTCCAATGGTGGGCTAACCCCCAGTTCATGGTCCTAATCTGCCCCCCCCCCAGCAAATCCTTCACAGTAGGCCACTTATTTTGTCAGTGACTGTGGCAAAAATACGTTAAAAATAGACACAACATTGAAATAAGTGGAGCCCAGTGGCCCAATGTCACACCTTCCTGGTAATCACATCAGTCATTTGATGAGTGGGAGCAGTAACCTCTCTCCTCAGCTGATTTGCATGGGTGAGCTAAGGAGGAGAGGCACAAATCCTATTTGTATGTCTCTATGTGTGTATGCACATATGAAAGAGTGTGTGAGTGTGTGTGAGTGTGTGTGGGCTGGCCACCCCCAGACATGTAGCCCCTGGAGGGTTGGCCAAGAGTGAATGTGGGCCTCAGGCCAACAAACTTTAATCCCCCCGGTATTCAGATTTTCCTGGCAGTAAGCCTCATTGAATTTAATGAGACTTACGAGTAGACATGTACTGTATAGTAGGAATGGGGAGCTGCTGTTGGGCTCTGACTCCCATTATCCCTGACTGTTGGCCATCCTAGCTGGGGCTGATGAGAGTTGGAGTCCCACAAAATTGGAGGGCCGCATGTTCTCCAGCCCTTGTATGCTATTTCCATTGCTATCTGTTTGTGGTAATCCTATTTATTCACCTCTATCACAGGCTGAAGAAAAGAAGCTGGACAGGATCACTTCAAGACAACATTTCTGACCCTCCATTAATGACCAAATCTGGTAAACCCACAACATGTGTTGACATGGTTTGTACAACACACAAAGCCAAACTATGACTTAGCACAAATGTGTGAGCTCCATGACCACTTTGCTCATCCTTCTGTTCTGCTGCTGCTGTGCCACTGTGAGCTAAGCCATTGTTTGACTTAGCATGTCATCTGAACCCAGGCTTAGGGTTTATTGCCTGCAGACAAACCACAAGCGGGTTTGGATAATACAGTAAGTCAAACCATGAAGCACATTAGCAGCAGGACTGAGGAACAAAGCATTAATGAGTCCACACATTAATGCTAAGCCATGGTTGGGATTCGCATTACATGTGAAGTGGGGCATTGTAGTGGAATTTGGTAAGGAATTGGAGGGAAATAATATGAGCAGAGAGCACTAGATATGGCATGTCTGTAGCTGGGTTTATTCCTTTTAACTCCAGCTGCTGATAATTCCAGAATCTTCCAGCTTTTGAAATGAGCTGTCAGTAATCCCAGACATTTTCCTGCCTGAGGCAAAAGACAAGGTGGCACCTCCCCGTCTACACCCAGAAGTCACCCAGATTGCTTCTTGAATTGTATTTCAGTCCTGGCAAAAGGACAGTGGCCTTCACTGCAGGCTAGCTAGCACATACAGCTCTGCCCACATCCATCAGCATCTGAGGCAGTTGTCTCATTCTGCCTAACGGCAGGGCCAGGTCCCTAATAGTCATTGGAGCCTTTTACAGTACAGTCCTATCTGTGTATACTCAGAGCTCATTTCAGCTTACTTCTAAGGAAATGGCTGTAAGATTGCTGCTTTACTTCCACACACACAGAAATTTCAGATTGTGAGGGACAAACAACATAAAAAAGAACTATATTTATGCAAACAACTCACATCCTTTTCTTTTTTTTTAAAAAGAAACATCTTTGCTGTTGTTCTTAGCTTTCTCAGACCCCCCTTTCTGCCACACACACACATATTTTTGAATCCAAACATAGCACTAAGTGAAGTTTGTTTCTATTTGTTTCAGGAAAACAAATTCTGTTATCACAGAAAATATGGTCAAAATTCTATTTATAATCTTTGCTACTTATTATGGACAGATCTCCCAGAATATTAACTGTACATAATAACCGTGAACAGATGGCAGCCTCAGCTCTTTCTTGTAAAAATTATTAATTCTTTTATCCCCACCATCCAGTGATCAACCACCTGGCTCTTTATTGCTCTGACTCCTTCCTCCGCCCCTCCCAATTCCCATCCTCCGATGTGATGTGACCACCTGCTGCAATTCCAATTGTTTGGGCATAACTCTAAAAAATAAGGTCTAGAGCAGGAATAGTCAAAGTGGTACCCTTTAGATGCTCTGGACTAAAACTCCCACCAGTCCTAGCCAGCCTAGCTAATGGTCATGGATGAAAGGAACAGTAGTTCAAAACATATGGTGGCTACCATGTTGGCTTTCCCGCTTCAAACTAAACAGTGTTTCCGGTTACGCTTGAATTTTGCTTAGTTTAAACTGTGATTTGTTAAAACAAACCAGGAACAAGTGATCCTGACTTGTTCATTAACCACAGTTAAAATGAAACCGAGTTCTCCAAGTTTATACATAATAGAGAACTCTGGTTAGCTCATGGTTCAGCATTGTACATTTGAATCTTTCCTCATTCTCACAGATACGTGAACATATGAGTGTTGATGTAACCATTTACATACATCTCAGGAAAACTTTCTTCCTCTAGTTGACAATGTTGCTAACTTGTCTGAATGCCAAATCATTGCATATTTCCTGAACTGCTTATACACAATAAAATTCGTAATCACATAAAATCGCTCGTGTAAATCTTTTCCCATCTCTTTTAATAAAGAAGAACATTATTTTCTGCCTCTTCCCATTTTGTGAAGATATAGTGTATATTCTTGTCGGTCACAGCTGTGCTGTAGCTGACTGAGTTGTCAAAGAGGCTGCTCTGTGGACTTAAATGAAGCTGGAATATGTTTAATGTTCAAGAAAATATGTTCTATTATGAATCCAGATAAAACAACTCTGCTTCCCAACTGAAATACATAATTTCCATCTGCCACTTGCCTTAATCAGTGACAAGCGCAAATGGAAGAAAACACAGAACTGCATACATAAGCTGTGCTAGCTCTAAAAAGGGCATTTTTAAAAACTTATGGGCTTATGGGCTATGTGATCTTCACTGCTAGGGAATGCACAACTGAAACCAACTTTGTGGAAGTGCGAGAAATGGAGAGAGAGAGAGAGAAACTAGTAGCTAGTTACTTTCCCTCCCTGGAAAGTAAGCAGCCCAGACTCTCTCTATTTAGCAAGGCATGCATTTCCAAAGAAGACATAAGGAAGTGAGGTATCCAGCCTTTCCTGAATGTCAGTGAAATTAGATTTCATGGAATGTCTGAAATCTAGCCACAGCACAATACTGTGACATGTGCCCCAGGTGAGTACTCCAGTGTTTACCCAGGTGCACTTGCTTTTTAAATGAGGTCACTGGAGGCTTATGGCGTTTTTGTGATTATATGGTTGAATTTAGGGATGGGTGAATCTGTTAATTTCAGTGCCTCATTTTTTCTCTACATCGATCTGCATTTTTCTTTTGTTTTTTAAAAAGCTCTCAAGAAAATTCATTAACAGTTTAGTATAAAGTTATTCTTAAACGTACATTTCCATATGCAATTTTGCATAATATACCCCTTATTTTGCAAAGCAACTTCCCCCAATAGAATACACTTTTGTATGTTATTGTTGCTGACATATGCATTTATATTACCGCAGTATATGCATTTCTCGACAAATTACTTGGCTGACAAGATTCAGAAAAGTGTGAATCTTGAAGGATAGCAGTGTTTTGGTAAGTGCAAATTAAATGTGAATTGAATTTCTTCTCCATCCCTAGTGAAGATACACCTTAACTCTAACAGATGCCCCAAATTCACTATTACTCATCAGAGTCCAAGGGAAACCACCAGCAGATTCTTACAAAGAACAACTCTCTCCTTCTCTTTCTCCTTTTCCTCCTTGACTAATTCAATCTGGCCCCAAAACTGTCCCACAGACACAGCTGGATAACGCCATCTGCCCTGGAGGATGGGAGATCAGAGTGGAAAGACATATCCCTTCTCCAAAGGCCAGCCACTGAAGCCCTTTGGTGCCAATCCCCTCAACACAACAGTACCGGCCAAGTTACTCTTGTTCAACTGGTTTGACACACTCAGCTAGACTCTTTTTACAACCAATGTTACAGGGTCAGGGCAGGAGGAAATCATTCAGACCAACCCCCATTGCATTTGCAGTGCAATTTACTGGCACTCCAGATACAGGATTATTCTTTTAGAAATAGCCAATAAGGAGTCCCTGATCTGGATCAGACTCTGGCATGGGGAAAAGAAGGGATTAGATCTTTGCTCCCATTGTGGTCCTGGTCTTGACTGGACCTCCTGAGTATATTGCACTAATCCTTGCTCCACCAGTCTTTTCGGCTACACTTCTCTTCTGCTCACTGCAGGAAGCAGACAGCACCAGGATTTAAGATGTAGTTTGTACATCCATGAGGGGTAAACTACAGCTCCCAGGATTCTTTGGGACAAATGAATGCTCACACTTCCCTTTGTGGGCTCCCTTTGCAGGACCACACACAGGACCCCCGAACCACAGGGACCACCAGCTGGTTGGGCTGGCCCTGTCGTCACAGTCATTGGTGGTTCCTGCCAAACCCCCGTTTAAACTATCCAACCAGCGGCTTACTCAGAGGCAGGGTCAGCTGAGCGGACCGTGTATGGGCAGGTTTCCCTCTGGTTCACTTGAGATGTATATATATGCACGGCGGAGCCGGCAGCAAGCATGCAGTCGGCTCTGGAGCTTCACTGACCCAACCCTCCTTTTGCCTAATGCTTGACTGCAGGTTAACCATTTAACTATTTTCCTTTCAGGTCAGCAAACGTTGCTACGGTCTTTTGCTGTTAAAGAGCCGGGAAAGAATTTCCCTGCTCCGTAGGTTTTGCCTTCCCCATAGCAATTGTCACAACTTGGGCGGTCCTTTAGTCTATCTTCCCTATATGGGGGGGGGGGGAGCGATTCCAGAGTTCCCCATTAAAGGGGTTTTGTGAAAAGGGAGTCACTGTCCATACACTGAAAGGTTGTCAGTGAACTCCCCTGCGTTGTGTGGAAATGGGGTGCCTGCCTACACAAGCGTCTTGCAGTGCGCCTTCCCCTATCCCATTAATGCCAAGGAGCCCCAGTTGCCCAACTGTGGGGCTGGAAGGGATACAAGCCCAATGCCTAAGCCAAGGTCTTCTTACATCTGAAAGGTTTCATAAAGTTGCAGCCAATTTTAATTCCATAACATGTTGCCACAAGTTATTATGCCTTCTGGTGGTCTCTCGGGGTCTGGGGTCTCCGCCTGGGCATGCAATGATGTGCTTTAAATGTGCAGTGTATATGCAGCCGCGCGCACATACACAGTCAGTCAGTCAGTCAGTCAGTCACACTGCACTTGCATGCAGACACACAAACAGATGCATATAGAGTTTCAAGCCATGCATCTGTTTAAACTGATTTGAGAGCATTTAAGTGATTGATTTACTACCAGTTCTGCTAACTCAGGGCTACAGTGCATAGTTTGAGGCTGAGATCCCAGGCATACAGAACGGAGTTCCACTGAAATGAACGAGGTTAATGTCTGAGCAAACACGCAAACAATTGCACTGCACTGCTTCTCTGCTGGCAGGAATGGCTCAGTTTTGCATTTCTAATCCAGCTTTCCGTGATCGGGGATGCATTCAAGTTGGGAGAGGGAGGGAACAGAGAGACGCAAAGGGGCAGTCCAACGTGCAGCAAATGCCATCACGCCCACAATCCTTTCAAGTTGGCTCAATTGTTAATGATCAAGTCGCACGCTGGCTGAACTGCAGTGTGGTGGTGGGGGGGTCAACCACTCCCATAGAAAACGGCACAATGATTTGCTCAAGAAACTGCATGAAAGGCTTGCCTCAGCTTAATGGGAGGATTTACAGCTCAGGTCAGCATTACAACAGAGAGAGGCAGTGGAAAATATCCTGTGGGTTAACCCTTCCGTTCAGAGGCTTGCTTGTTGGTAAGAATGCTTTTCAGAAGTGCCTATAGGAAATAACTTGGCAGAACCTCCAGATCCAGAAGTCCTAAACAAGGGTCCTTCCAGAAGCCTTTTCTGCAGCAGAGCAGAGCAAACTTTGTGCCCTGCAAAGTATGTTCCTCCTGAGTCCTAACAGCCTCCTTAGCCCCTTGCTATATTTTAAGTCCTCTGTGCATAACTGGAGGGTCCCTGGCCACTCCAGCTTTCCCACTTCCTCTTCCTTCCTGGCACTTATCTCCAGACAACCACACGATTCTCCACTCAGGCCCTCCAAGTGTCCCTGTTTGCCAGGGTCGTCCCTGATTTAGAGAAACCATCCCAGTTTCTGATTTGATCCCAGAATGTCCCACTTTTCCTTAAAAGGGTAAAGGGACCCCTGACCATTCGGTCCAGTTGTGGCCGACACTGGGGTTGTGGTGCTCATATCGCTTTATTGGCTGAGGGAACTGGCATACAGCTTCCGGGTCATGTGGCCAGCATGTCTAAGCCGCTTCTGGTGAACCAGAGCAGCGCATGGAAACACCGTTTACCTTCCCACCGATGTGGTACCTATTTATCTACTTGCACTTTGACATGCTTTCAAACTGCTAGGTTGGCAGGAGCAGGGACCGAACAACGGGAGCTCACCCCGTCACGGGGATTCGAACCACCAACCTTCTGGTTGGCAAGCCCTAAGCTCAGTGGTTTAACCCACAGCGCCACCCGCATCCCTCCACTTTTCCTTAGGATGTCCCTATTTTCCTTGGAGAAATGTTGGAAAGTATGGAGTTATCTAACTCCCAAGCCTTCTGAAGGCAATCCTGTATAGGGAAGTTTTTTAAAATGTTTATTATGTTTTTATATATGTTGGAAGCTGCCCAGAGTGGCTGGGGCAATCCAGTAAGATGGGGGATATAAATAGTAAAATTAACATTATGGAATAGGACATCCTTATTTTCATTGAAGAAATGTTGGAGAGTATGCCCTACTTCAGTGCAACTTTTGATTGATTGATTTTTTAACCTGGGCAAGGAGAAAGAGTGGAACCCGGCAGGCACCAGGAAGAATGGAGAGGCCCTTTCAGTCAAGTCACACCTACCTGGCCTACATCTGACATCAGAGATGATGTCAAGTGTGAAGCAGGCAAAGACATGTCTGGGCCAAAAGGGGAATTGCAAAGCCCCGCACAAAGCCCTGTGTACTGGGCTTCTCAAACCCCAATAGTCACCTACCGCCAGTGCTTGTGAAGCCCATGCACAATGCTCTGCAGTGCCCAGCAATCAGCAAACAGGCCTGGCTTAGTATAAGGCAGCTTCCTGCATATTTTGAAGGATGTGCGTTTCTCAGGCAGCAGTCCTCACCTTACTTCAAACTGCTTTTGAAATATAGGGGACAGGCTGCTGTTTAAGTGGTGGAACACCTAACAAGGCACATTCAAGCCACTGGACATGTCCTAAATATATTTCTGGGCTGTGATGTCTAATATTGTAAAACATGAACTCAAGACTGCAGTTTGAGATTATGATCACAACTAACACCACCATTGACAGTTATTTCTTAAACTTAGCTCCTTACTTTGTCTACTCCACATGGGATGCTCAGAGCAGTTTCTGCCCAGGTTATTTCCTCTTGGGGGAAAGAGAGCATGAGATTCTTTCTATAAGTACCTATATTGAGTTTAGCAAACTATGGAATGGTGACGTGAAAGCAGCTGGTGCTAGTCTCTTGAT